CAGGAATTCAGAACCAGCCCAACCAGCAGATAATGATTGACTCTGATGCCTATCAGAGTCTGTGGTTCCTCTGAGGCTAAGGGAGGGCCTGACTCTACTGAGGTATAGAGTAGCAATATCAGGCCAGGTCAGGACTAGCTTTCTGATACTTTTCTATATATCTTGTATTTGTGTGGCAGAAGATAAAAGCCTGCATAGAAGGCTAAAACAGAGGTGGCTTTGGCTGACTGTTTGGTGAACAAACCTACCGGACAACAAAGACTTTGATCTAACTTATATTTGAGGCAAAGTGAGACCTGGGGCACACTGTTTTAAAAAATGAAACCTTGACTCATAACAAATCAAAATAATCTGAAAGGGTTGGCAGGTGTTTGGTAAGGTGAGACATAAAACATTACAGTTAAAACGGTCAGATAAATGTAACGTGTTTAAATAAGTATTCAAGGTAAGTGGGTCCTACCCCAAAATTCAGATGAGCATTTTTCTATGTTTAGGCCTCTTCAAACATGGACATGGTATATTGAATTTTTAATTTAAATAATATTTCTGAAACACTAACAATAAGGACAGATCAAACCCAGTTTTAATTTCTAAAATATTACATACAGCATCTCTGGACTGGAGCAACTATACTTGGATGGATGAGAGAACATAAAATGACCAAAAGTTGCATTGACTACTGCAGTAGACAGTATAGGCTGGAAAATACCATATTCATTATCCAGGGTCTCCACTGATGCACTAACAATTCAGGAGTCCTGAAGGATATACTGTAGGTTTTCATACTTGTAAATTGCTATAGCACTTAGTCTGAGACCTTTTTTGAATCTATTAAAGTGGATGTTGGTCTATCTTTTAATTCTGACTGTGCTATTGAATCACAAAGTTTTAAATAAATATTATATAGGGCCCTACCAAATCATAATCGATTTTGGTAAATTTCCTAGAAATAGCATTAAAAACATCTTACATTTCATGGTTCAATATATTTAAGTCTTACATTTCATGGTGGAGTAACCATGGGGGTCCTGACCCAGAAGAGGATCAGGCGGGGGCTTGGAAATCTATTATAGAGGGGTTGTTGTATTGCTACCCTTACTTTTGCACTAACTTTGGAGCTGGATGGCCGATGAGTGGTGACTGGGAACCCAGCTCTGAAGACAGTGCCCTTGCCAGCAGCAGCAAAGTAAGGGTGGCAATTCCATAACCTACCACCCTTACTTCTGCACTGCTGGTGGTAGTGCTGCTTTCTGGGCTTCATGTGTGGCTAGCAGCAACCACTCTCTAGCCACCAAGCTCAGAAGGCAGTGCTGAAGTAAGGGTAACAATACTGTGGCCCCCCTGCAGTAGCCAGATTTCATATGGGAGATCAAATTTCACAGTCCTTGGTTCCTTTTTCTATAGCTGCGAATTTCGTAGGGCCAAATCATTCTGGTTGAGGTGGATTTCTTTTTTAATTTCCCTGCCACTTTTTGCTTGTTTTAATATTTTTTTCAGTAATTCCATGTTAGTTTTTAACTTTTTCCAAGCAGTTCTGGTCAGCCTTTCTTTGATTCATTTCTCCCATACTAATTCTTTTTTCCCCTCCCTTTCTGAAAGGTTCTGTTTCTGACTGTTCTTTCATCTGTTTCCTTGTCCAACTGCAATTCTGAATCATCATTGACCCTTCCTTTTTCAATATTCCTTTCTTCTGTCTTATTCAAAGATGAACAGACTTTCCAAAAATTAAACAGTCTGAGATTTTATTCGTTAACGAGTAGTGTAGGCTCAAATGACAAAATCACCCTTAAAATAAAATCTATTCCTCCTCCACTTTCTTACCAAAAATAAAGTTGAAAGCCTTCAGGATTGTTTTCTATGCGTTTTTATTGGTATCATTAATATCAGAAACAGTGTAAGCAATTCAGCTCCCTGCCCTGCTTTTTAGTGATGCCATCTTCTCCAGCATGAGAAATCTAGAAGCCAGGTGTTCTGAAATCTTGGTATGTAATTTTAGTTCATACTTAAGTTATTTGTCTAATTTTAAAACCATACTTTATTCTAGCTAGTTTCAGATTTAGCTTTAGAGCCTGTCGTTTCATCTTAAGATGCATCATGCATAATGCTTGATAAAGAATAATGATCACTCCAGGTGATCTTGGAACAAAACTTCCTAAATGCACACTTCTTCAATTTAAATGTTTAAGAGGGTCTTCTTTGCTGCAGAGGAACAGTTCTTTACCTGATGAGAATAATGTTGCTAGACTCCAAGAAGAACTCATTGCAATGAAGTTGAGAGAAGCAGAAGCTTTGATGGGCCTAAAAGAACTTAGACAGCAAGTCAGGGATTTGGAAGAACACTGGCAGGTATGGATGTAAACCTCTTGATAAACTTAAATGATTTGAATAAAGCAGGACAACTGAATGTATAAGTCTGAGAAATGGGGTCAAGTAGATTGGCAACTAGAGCTATACACAAATGACATATTAAATGGGAGAGCCACTAAGTGTTTTACTTTAAAAATGTAAAATGGATCCTCTAGTTGTAGCTTAGGGCTTTCTGACTCGTGCTGTGAACAAAAACACTTGTTCTGGTAGGAGGTAGACAGGCACGAAGTGAAAGTAAGGACCTACTTCAGTGAATGCAAGTAGAGCAGGGGTCTCCATCCTTTTTAATCACAAGATCACTTTTTGAATTTAAGTGCAATTCAAGATCTACCTCAAATCCAAATACGTTTGCCCCGCCTCTTTTGTGTCCCTTCTCCGAGACCCTCACTTTCACCAGGCAGGGGCAGAGGGTCGGGGTGCAGGCTCTGATCTTGGATTAAGGGATTTGGAGTGTGAGAAGAGCTCTGAGCTGAGCTTGGGGTGGACAGTTGAGGTGTCAGAGGGAGTTCTAGGTTCAGGCTCTGGGAGGGTGTTTGGATGCAGAAGTGCTTGGGGCTAGGACAGGGACCTGGAGTGCAGGAGGGGTTCATGACTGAGGTAGGGTTTCAGGATATGGGCTCCTACTGGGCACTGCTTACTTCAGGTGGCTCCTGGATGGTGGTACAGTGGGACTAAGGCAGGCTCGCCCTGGCCCTGCACCACTCCCAAAAGCAGCCAGCAAATTCCATCCCAAATCCTGTTATGCCCCCTCTCTGCTCTGTGGGAGGGTACAGAGTGGGAGAGGGGGCATATTGACATCAGCACCCTCCTCTTCCTCCCCTGTCCTGCTCAGCAAGCAGGAAGCTCCTAAGTGTGGGGTGAGGCAGCTCCAAAGCAAAGGGCAGGAGGTGCACAGCAGTAAGGGAGAGGGGTAGCTGAAGTGCCCATACTTGATAGCCTCTAGGCCAAACCAGTCAAGATCACCTGTCAGAGGCTCCAAGATCTACCAGTAGATCCCGATCTACTGGTTGGTAACCACTGAAGTAGAGGTTGAAACATAGCAAAATCTTGTCATTCAGGTGTTTTTGAAATACTCAGTTTTCTTGTATAAGGATATATTTTCAATTTCATGCTTGTTCCAATTGAAAATTCCTGCCTCATAACCACTGTGTCTCAGGTCTTAAAACTATGTAGCCTTGTGACCATTTGTAGTTCTTATGGTGAACTGTAATGTTATATTAATCTTCTGTTTTACACTTCAAAGTTGTTTTAGAGGACTGAGAAGCACTTCCTTCTTTAGCAGATGAGGTAATAGTATTTTAGGACAGTCCTGAAATAATCTAAAAAAAAAATACCATTATAAATTATTTTAGCGTCATCTAACTCGCACTACTGGAAGATGGAAAGATCCACCCAGAAAGAATACTGTGAATGAACTGCAAGATGAATTGATGACAATTCGATTGAAAGAAGCAGAAAGTCAGGCAGATCTGAAAGAGATGAAGCAAAGAATGATAGAGATGGAAACACAGGTATGTTATTGAAAACTTGTACTGAGATGGCAGAGTGTTGAAAATTACTGTGAACCAAACTGAATGCGGGTATCTAGGGGTACTGTGGATAGCCTTTACTAATGACAATAGTATGAGACAGTACAATTACTCTTCTGCTTTTCATGCAGTTAGACTGGTTAAGAATAAGACTCCAATTTTATTCCCTCCTTTTTCAATGACTTGCAATATATGAAACTCACTTTTTTTTAAGCATTGCTTAATATAAAGGTGGAAAGAACTCTCCATTACAGAAGAATATAATGAATCTCAATTGTTTACAGGTCTAGTTTTATATAGTAATAAGTGTATTTTAAAATCAGCTATTAAGTGTAAATGATCCCTTAGCTGACAAAAACACTATCTGCTTCTTTCCTTCCCTTTGGGAATTGCCTATGTGTTTTTGCCTAATGGTGACCTTCCTTCATAACCCAGGATTCTGGCTCCTGAATTGGCCAGAGGATGCTTGCAGATCAGCTGAGTGCTGCCAGTACTTAAGGGATTGGTACCAATTTTTTGCCCATTCAGCTGTGATACCCTGTGAGGGGGTCACTCACCACCGTAGCGGGGGTCCGTCATCTGTCCCCGGAATCAGTCCATTCCGCCCGCACAGGCCTCCGCTCACGTGGCGTTTCCCCTCTGGAATCTTCTAGTCGCGTTGCCCTCTTCGCCACACTGCCCTCCGGCAGTGCCCAAGTCACTCGCTCTGAGCCCCCCTTCCGGGGGTTTGGTGTCTCTCCAGCAGGCCTGTCCGCAGGCCTAGCAGGCTGGCCGGCTGGCTGTCCGAGCGCCCTGGCCCAGCCTAACACTCTAGCCCTGC